GCTGGGGGAGCAAGGCAGCAGTGGCAGCAGAAGGGGCGGGGAAGGATAGATAGGTAGGAAGGAATCAGACACGCGCAGGCATCAAATGCATCAGAATCATCAGAAAGGCGGAAGTATCAGACGTGCGGATGTATCCGACGCGTGGACTTGTAACGGAGGCATGAGCTGCGCGGAGGTATCAAGAGCCCCGGGTATCAGACGCATGGAAGTACAGCGAATAAATGCATACAATATCAAAAGCGCGCCGTGCGGAGCAGCTCTGGAGACGGAACAATGGGGGGAGAATACATACGTAAGACATCAAACGGGCAAGACTCGTCGAACCTCCTTCTGTTGAGCGTGTGAGTGAGTGAGACATCAAACCGGCGGAAGTATCAGACGCGCGAAGGTATCCGACGCGCAGATGGAGAAGGTGATAGAAAGGTTTTTGACGGGCAGGAGGTATGAGACAGGTGGAAGTATCATGAGAGGTATCAGACGCGCAGAAGAGCGGAGCGGACCGAGAGTCAAACGCGCGGAAAAGCTCAGGCAGGCGGGGGGGTGCAGGGGAAGGGACAGATGTGGGGAGGACAGGAAGAAACAGAGAGGGTCAGACGCGGGCAGGTATGAAACGAGCCGGACGGAGGTATTGGACGAGCCAAGGTATCACAGGGCCAGGGGTATCAAATGGGTGCAAATGTCAGATGGAGGTATCAGAGAGGTATCTGACGGGCGGCGGTAGCAGCGCTCGAAGGTAGCTCACGTGTTGACATCCTTGCAGGGTTCCTTTTGACCGAAAGGCGGCTGGGCCGCCCGGTCTACCGGTCTACACGTATGCTGCGCCTGAATGGTGCGAGCTCTTCCAGGCAAGCTGCCAGCCAAGGAGAGCGTGCAGTTGTGGCCGTCGCACGAAGCTGACTTGTGGAGATGCACAGGATTCCACGATGACCGTATCGTGTTGGCTTGGCACCAGGCCGCGCCGGGCAACGCTTGCGCTGTCATGGCAAAGGCGTTTGGGCAACAGGCACTTGGGCATGAGAAGGCCTTCCCGAGAAGTGCCGCGTCTTCTTTCGTAGTCGGCCCTGCTTCGGTTAGGCGCCATGGACACATTATGTACCCCTCGTAACCTCCTAACCTAAACCCCCAAACCAGGTTACAGGTTTGAGGTTTCCGGCGGGCTGATGCTTCCGTGCGTTCGCGACCTCCTCGCGGTTGATGCCTTCCGTCTGACGGCTTCGCAATGGCACGTGTGATGCTTACGCCCGTTTGATACTTCGCATTCTGATGCTTGCGGCCGTCTGATACCTTCGCCCGTCTGATACCTCCCCGCGTCTGATACCTTCGGCCCGGTTTGACACATCTGGCTGATACATCTGCGCGTACAAGGCGTGGCTTTTTTGAGTTGGCATGGGGACGACAACGTACAGTTGCATTTCTTGTTGCATTTGTTTTCCGGTGTGTGCCTGGACAATAGGTTCGCGCAGGTGCACCAGTAATGTCCACGTTCGCAGCACTTATCCACCCATTCGTCCGCAAAAATTGTGCACCACGTGCACTTCGGACATAAGCACTGGAAGGAAAACAACCGTGCCCCAGTGCTTCCGAAGTTGCATGGCGTGCTTACTGCACCTGGGCCGGGTTAAGCATGCTGTCAAACAAGTCGCAAGGCGCGGAACCCTGTGCAGGATGCTCCGCCCTTGCGCAGGCGTTTCACCCTCCGACCGCGTCCGCGGGAAACCTTTCAAACCCCACCAGGCTCTCAGGGGGCTCAAGAATTTCTAGGTCCGGTAGCCTTAGCCTGCCTTGGGACTGTACCAGAAGAGTTGCCAAGTGCCGCTTTCGTGCGGCAGCCTCGGCCGGCACCGTGCCCCAGCTTGTCTATCCTGCCGGATAGTCGGGACCTGACGATGGTCACCAACGGCATAAAGTCTGCGACGGCTGTGGCTCGTGCAGCACTGCATGTTCTTGGGCTTCGTACCAAACAACGGCCAGCGGAAGCGGCTTTAACAACTTCTCATAGCAGCCGGTGCCACGCGTGCGTCTTCGCTTGAGTTCATTTGGGGCAGCACGGGGGTCGCCTGGCTTGCGCAAAAAAAAGGATGTGCAGCACAGAGGCGAGTGTGAAAAGTGTCGTCCTGTAAACAAGAACTTTCTGGGTGAAGAACGCATCCCCAACAAAACTCGGGCACTATACCCTTGAATAATGCTCGCTGGAAGCGAACCCGGGTAGCATCCAGCTTTTAACAAGTGCGGTGAGGCCCAAGCAGTGCACCCTTCCGCCGCCTCCACTGCGAACTTTCCAGCAAAGCGCACGGAACCGTGCGTGACACTCATCCAAAAAATTGTCAATTCTGGGCGGATGTAGCAGTGACTCGCCTGGTCTCCCTTTTCACCACTGCGGCGGTCCCGCTGGATGAGAAGATGCCGCCTTGTCGCAGTTTTGTGATGTCCTGCCAGGTTGTCGCGCCCGAGCCGCCCCGTAGACGCTCCTGTCATGGCGCGGACGATGTGGATGGCGACGCTCCTCGGCTCTGAGCGTTGTTCGTTTGGCGTTCCCCCCGAAGGCTTGTACTAGGACACGCCGGCAAGGGGAAGGGAGAAAAAATTTGCGGCCATATCAATGCGCCATCCTGTTCCTAAGCGTCCTCATAGTCTTGCGATACCAGACCGCAGCGATCCTGACAGAGCCACTCTGCAGCCGGTGGCGGTAGCAGTTACTCCCACAAAGGACCGTGTGCAGCCCGACACGTGGTGGGGCAGTCAGTCGGTTCGGCGTTCATGCGCTCGCTGTGCTGTGCGCGACACCGCGCACTCATCCCACAAAGCTGCGGAACTGACATGCAGGCGGGGAACTGAAATGAGCAGGCATGACGCTTCCTCAGGAACTTGCTGCGTCTACGGGCCCACCGTACGAGCATGCGATGTGTGGCGGTACAGCAAGAGCCTTAAGCGGGTCTTGGCAGCCCTCTGTGCGGATGGCGACGAGCACGGGCTCGAAACACACCTTCCGAAAATCCGACGCTTGAGCGCCATGATATCTTTGATTCGTGCGTCATGTCGTTGTTGACGTATTATGCTCTACATTGATCGAGGCGAGCCGCAGCACCATTCTGTGTCGGAACCGCCAGTTGGTTCACATGACTGCTGCAGTGCCTCCAGCAACTTTTCAGATCCATCAATCCACGATCTGGCCTATGGAGTAATTGCCAGCTGTCGACATTCGAACGAACAGCAGTGCACACTGCATGTCACCCGCTTTGAATTGCAGCTATCGCGAAGATAGGGGCGACGTCAAGTTCGGACTTGCACAGGTGAGTTCCATCTTCTTCAAGTTGAGCGACAAGTCTCGAAACATACTATGGGACCAAGCAGGAAACAGACCAGCATGGATGCTTTGCCAGCTCCAGAGAGGATTCGTTTCCAAAGGGTCCAAGCATATCGGAGTGTTCTTGTTGAGGTTTAGATGCCCGTATCCCTAAATGGGTCGACGGGTGCTCGTGGCCCAGGAGGAGGAGGACTCGGCCCTGCTGAGCTGGTGGTGCCCAAGCAGCGCGGTGGAAAATGGCCCTCGTTGCCTCGCTGATCACGGAACGACACCAACTGGAGGTGATTCCCGCTGTGCCACACCTATCAACGGCAGCACTACCGTATTCTTTGGCTGGGGCGAGGAGCCGGCGGTCTCGCTACATCTCGGTGCATCCTGTGATACTGATTGACTCAGGAGCGTTGTAAATGCACTGGGTTTTCCAGTGCTTGTTCCGATTGCCACGTTCACAACAGAAAGATTCGATTTTGTTCCGGTCAACCCAAGCTTTCTGCGTCTGGTCGGACAACCTTCAATGGAGCTGAGGACAACCTGTCCATTTTTGGTGAGGCAGACTTATCGGCTATGCCAAACCCGAAAGTACATTGCATTTCTGGCTGGAAATCCACTGCTGGACACTGCACGAAAACAAGTTGCTCTTGCCCAAGTAGAGGTACGGAGGTTGGCTCTTGCAGTGTACATGCAAGTATTTGTTTGTTTGATGGTGCCTCCTGAACTGCACAGTCCTTCGCAGAGTTTTTGTGATGAAATGACGCAGCCTGTGCAGCTGCAACCGAGCCCCGCCAAGTTGCCCTTGCGTGTCCTGTATCTGCTACAGGGCTACAAGTGTCACAAGCTCGCCTAGTCTTGCGCACAGCGCTTGCGACAGCGCTGATGCAAGCGAAGACTGTGACTTGCGAGGTGTGCGCTGCCGAGGAAGCACCAGGCGCTGGTGTTGTGAAGTTGTGTGAGCAGACTGCAGAGCACCCAACTTCCACCAGGCCTGGGAGGCAAAGACGAGCCAAAGTCGAAACAGATCATTTAGTCGCTGATCCCAGCTTGCACGTAGGTGGAGGGTGGCGGGAAAATGCAAAGCGCAATACTGGACCAGCATGTCTTTTGGTCCTGAACCCTAGAGGCCCTAGAGCTATCTGCCGATCCAGAACCTTGTGAATGGAAACACTGCAACGAACAACTCCACGGATGTGACTTGCACCATCAGCGAGAACAAGAGCACGCTACTATGCCACATTCACCACAGAGCGGGCCGCGGTCATAAGATTGATTGATTGATTGACTGCCTGTGGGTGCGAACACCCTTGCAATTGCAAGGCATAGGAGGGCTGGCCCGTGTCGTACACACAGACAGCGCTACGAGTCGCAAGTCACAATGTTGGGCAATCGTCGGCACCCTGAGCTTCCGTGTGTTTCAGCGGGGTGGAACGTCTGTGCCGCTACGCGGTCAAGAGCAACCGGGAGTCGCATTACTGCTCCAAATCTTTAGCGAGAAAAGGCTCGGAACAGAAGGTAAGACGTGGTGAGAGTCGCGGCTGAGAGGCTCTGATCCTTGCCGACGTACGGGTTGCACTCTTGTTTTGTCGGGCGCATGCAGGGTATCATTCCGATCAATGTGAGACTGGAGTCGATTGTCCTCTCCGAGCATCCTGTACACATCACAGACAGATTTGCTGTGGTAGCCCGGACACGTCGTGGAGAATCATGTTTGCCACCGGCTGGAATGGGAAAGCTTTGCGAAATCCTGCAGGACATGTTGACGATCCCATCCCAACTATGACCAGTCTGCTGGGAGTTGTCCTGGTTGGCCCAATCGCGCTTCGCAAGGTCTCGAGGATCGGCAGCGTCAACACCCGCCCTGAGAATGCTTCTGCCACTGCCTGTCTGCACATGCTGTGTCACTAGCCCCGTGGGGAACTGAGACGGCAGCCAGTGGAATGCGAACTCTTCTTCATCCTCCGCCCCACTGCCCTGTTCATCTTCAGTAAAAGCAGATGTGCCCAAGATACGTAGCCATCGTTCCCCCTTGCCTCATGATCGTCATAGTAACCGCCATATGCTCCACCAGGAGACATGCCAGTACCACCACTCAGCTCTCTGGTGACCTGAACAATCTTAAAGTTTTAAGCAGACAATCACTGGAAGAAACTGGAGCGGAGGACTTTTTCGAAAGACATATAGTATCATATGGGTTTTACGTCTTTCTTTTCTAGTAGCATGTACAGTGTACCCGCGAGATCCTGGCACATCTGCACCATTCTGGGTTATGCTGCTCAAAGCGGAAGGCCTTGCCACGAACGGGAAGGTCATGAGCAACAAAAGCTCGTACCATTGAAAGCTAGGCCTTGATCTGCTCTACCCAAGCTGGAGTTCCATCCTGCACTGCACATCACTGCACTGGGGGCTGTCACAGCGGAGTCTTATTCTTGGGATTCTGTGTTGGTCCTCAGCACCCGGAGCATCGTTGGTGGTCGCTACGATCTGCAAGCAAAAAAGCAGAGACATGACAGCAGAGCTGGCCGGACCTGCCTGCAGCAGAGCAGTTGCATACTCTAGAACCAGAGGATTTCGCGCTCGTGCGAACCTGGTCACGGGGATGGATTCTCAGCCACTCTTAATGTTGTACGGATGGGTTTCCGAAATTGCAAAAGCAAGATGCAGAAGCACCTCATGATGCAAGGCGCCAGCTCCGTCTCTTGCAGAACATATTCGCGAACCTTGCCAACTAGGCGCTTGGTGAGCGTCTCCTATGAACACCTCCGGCCGGCCTCGTCGTGATGCAGCAGGCAGTGGAATACAAAGAGCAACTGCACGACAATTTCCTGGCGGTTCTTTGAGATGTGCCGGCGGGGGGGGGGGGGGGGTTAAACCAGACATAGTTTATGAAGCAAGCTCTCCTCGTCCTCTCGCTTCTCCACTAACAAGTCCTGAAAGCAGGCTCCAGGTTCACTTTCCCCAGGTTCACTCTCGCTGCATCAACGAGCCATCCACAGACTCGGCTCTTCACAAGTTACTTCGTCCGGGCAACATGTCCCAAACCCTGACCCTCTTGTGCTTGCACCACCTGAAACCTTGCACCTGTGTCGACATGACAAGAATGACAAGAACAAAAGTCACCGCGACCTTTGACCTGAGGGTACAGGCTTTGAGTGCGATGGCTGGTCTTCCGGCTCAGAGGGTTGGTATCGCGGCAGCACTGGACCGGCAAGCTCAACGACTTCGCCCCCAAAGCGCGAGCTGCTCTCCGAACGGCCAATGCGAGTGGGCACGTGGCGTTCTGATTACAGCGGTCCTGCATCAGTGCCGGTAGTCGCGAGCCCGCAATGTGCTGCGCTGATTCCTGCATGATCACACAAACTGCAAGAACCGCGAACTCGAAGATGTTTTTGTCGAGTGGCTGGACAGCAAGCGAGGTTGCTCGCCAAGAGCACGCACTCGAGCACCAAGTCATCCTGGGAAGAAGAAAAGAAAGAGGAGGAGAGGAGTAGAGCGGTGCGGTGCAGTGCCCCTAGAGGCGGGGGCCTCGGAGAAGCTGGGGACCAGGAGCCGCGTCAGCAGCTCCAGGAGCCCCTCCTCACAGAGCTCGGCCCAAGGCACCTCCGGAGAAAAAGGGTCCCAGGGGCTTCCCTCAAGACTCCCCTTCTTTTCTGGAGCGCTAGCTTGTCCTCAGAGAGAGGGATGGGCACGGAAGTCTTCGACTTCGGCCCGAAAACCGTCGCACGTGTCAGCTGTGTCAGGCTTCAGATTGCCGGCAGCCGCTTACCTGGCATGCACATGAAAGCACAATTATGCTTCCACAGCGATAGGCTCAGCCCAGATCAAGCCGCCGGGATCTCCCAAACACGGGTCCTGTGTACGATGGCACTACTGCCTCACCACCTTTGGCTGGCAGAAACCTCAAAAATCACATGAAAGACTGCATCTTCAGCCTGAAGCCCAAAGCCAGTCCGAGCCAGGTCCGCGACACCAGGCTCAGAGAATTCACGCAGTGCCGCTCGTCCGTGCAGTTTCCGAAGCCCTGCCAAAGAAAGGACGCTGCACTCTTCGTGAGCAAGTGGGCGTGACATGACGCCTCACCACGGAAGACATGGCCCAAATGACCATCGCCTGAGAGAAGCGGTCATCACACGGAAAGCACCCGAATCGTCTTTTGAGAAGCTGGCACTTTGAACAAAGAATTTCACACCTTCGCAAACACCAGTCACCAGGCCACACCAGCGCAAAGATGTGCAAAGTAGCGGCCGCTGGTAGAAGCACCTTCGGCCATCCGCATCTCTCTGCTCGTAGACTTCATCCTGCGCTCTGCTGCGCTCAGGCTTGTCAGGGTCGTAGAGACACGTGCCTTCACATTGGTCCAAAATCCTGGCCAACCACATCCACAGTCGAATTTCCTTTTTTCATTTCCGGGTGCAAGTCGCTCGAGGGCAAGCTAGGCTAGTCCTCCGACTTATATCGAACTCCAGAAAGTCGGAACATGGTTGTAGGATGATTAGTGCAGTCGAATTTCATGCTGCTGGTGTACAGGGGGACCTGGCAGAAATGTCGGAAGCGAGGAAGAGCCGTCGCCAGCCGTTCGCAGCCCTGCGCCTGCAGCCCTGCGAAGTAACATCCACTGCAAAGATAAACGCCGGAATCTTTGTGGTCGTCAAAGCCTCGCACAAAACATCCCTATACCGTCGCTCCACTCAAGGCACCGGCCACGAACAGCTGCACCTTGGGGGAACTTGATTCGATGCCCAGGCTCTGTAGCCTTGTTTCGGAGAACCTTCGGTGCTTCATGTCCGACCGCTTCAGAGCTCTGAGGACGCCACCGTCCTTGTATATGTTTGTTCGAAGTTTTTCGCTCCATTCTTTCTCCGACAGCCTGAAGCGTGCCCCTCCGTTGGAGCGAAAAGACCAGAGCGAGAGACAAACACGCGCCTGACTCCCGAAGTCGAGGCTTTTCCAAGGTGTGTTGAACCTTTGCTCTTCGGCACCTGGCTTTCTCGAGATATCTTGGGAGCACTCATGGAAATTCAAATCGAGCCTCGTATGCTGCAGGATCTCGAGCCGGCTCTCCCATCGTCGCGAAGGCTAAGACGCTAAGCGTAGCAGTACAGGGCCAGCTTCTGCAGCGGGAAGGTGTAGCAACTTGCAGAACTCCCGCTCGTTCACTCCTTCCTTGCCTTCGCATAACCTTACAAAGCAGGTGGACGCAACTTTTTCGCAAATGCAAAAGGGAATGCCACCAGGTCAATACATCAACAGCGGCTCACATCTACTCTACTCGGCTTGGCCTACGAGTTCAAAATGCAACACACTGATTCCTTGGCTGCCCTTTTGGGCACTTTGAACAGACTGCACTGGCTGCGCCGGCGTGCACGGAAAACCAGTGGACCGTGAAAGTTGCGGGCTCGAGCGTGCCCTGCGACCCTGTGCGCTTTGAGCGCGACTTGGTTGCTGCCGCTCGCTGTATCCCGGCCTCCACCGATTCACTAAAAGACGAGCCCCATTCTCAGGAAACTCTAAAACACAGACATCTTTGCATGTCCTAATCTTCACACCTTCGACACCTTCGGTGCCTTCGCCTTGTATGCCCTTTGCCAGCTCGAGTTGCTCGGCTTTCAACCGCTCCATGTGCGCTAAAACGTTCGGCAAGTCTGATATATGTCTGGGAATCAGGGACTGCGCTACAGGCTTTCTAGGCAGGCCGGGCTGGTATCCCAGTTTCTGCCAAGCCATCTTCTGGCGATTGGCCGGTGGACCGCTCGGTCTGCCCGCCCTTGCATTGACTTCATGTCTCTGCTCTTGGCCTTGTCGGTCATAGGATGCGATGATGGGCACTGTCATTGCAGACGCCTCTTCGTTCGCATCCCTGCCGAGCTCCCTGCCTGGGTGACATGGCATCAGCTTTGCATCAAGCTTTGTTGCTGGGCTCGACGTGCGCGACTGTGACCGCTGGGGCTGCGCTGGTCTCTTGCTTTTATGGAGCTGCGGTGCAGAGGCTGGCCGTCCAATCATTGGCCTTTGTGCAGGTTTCGCAATTGTCTTGCTTGAGCTCTTTGGCGGAGATCGAGAAGCAGATTCATCCTTAGATGAGGAATAAATCCAACCCTGACCCTTCTTCGATTGACTCCCGGGCAGCTGCTTGGCATGCACACTGGGAATGTCTGTCAGCGCCCAGAAAAGCTCTGGCTTGGCGGGTACAAACTTCGCAGGAGAGGGTGACCGCTTCATCGGCAGATTGCAGCTGACGAGCTCTCAAGCATGGCGAAAAGATCGGCTCTCGCGGCTGCCACTAAGGAAGCATCTTGAGCCAAACTGAGATTAGATGCCAGGCGTCAGACAGGGTACCAAGTACTGGCATCGAGCTTCTGCGCAGGAAACACTTCAAGCCAGCAACCAGCACCTCCTCCAGTGTGACATTGGCCAGAGTTCCCAGCACCTCCCGGCAGACACGCAGCCACGGATCACTGCCAACTAGCATCAACCTTTGAGTTCAATCGTCTTCACCATGCCGCCTCCACCAGCATATCTGGGTTGTCAACAGAGGACCCTGCCATGCGGACGAACTCATGCATCCACTTGGCCATGCGAACCTGTTCGAGGACGTGACTTCTGACCATGCACATGGTTGCGAAATGGTAAATCCGAGCTGACGGCATCTTCGCTCTGTAGAAGCTCGTACATTTGTTCTAGCACGCCCGAATGTGAGGCGACGTGCCGTATCACCTCTGCACTGTGATGGGAAGAAAGCACGAAGCAACAGAGTTGGCACCTTGCAGAGCAAAGGGTCCCGGTGCTTCAATACGCGGAGAACAATTGCTGGAAACAGGCCGCTTTGCACAATGACCTGCAAAGAATATGCTGCGACAAGTCTCGGATCCACTGTGGGTCACCTTAAACCCAGCAAGACTGTCATGCCTCTGCTGCGCGAGCATGCGCGGCGAGATTCACCATCAGGGCCACTAAATCCTGCGAATCGGAACTACAACACGTCCTGTACTTAAAGCAAAGGTAGCCGGTCCTTTCCCACCCGTGGCTCCGGAAAATGGACAACCAGCTGGAGCAGCATGATCATGCCATCCTACAAGAAGCGGAGAAATGGTTCTCCAGCTGCCACAACATATTGCTGTTGATGCAGATCCCTGCAGTAGTGAGTGCACGGACTCAAACCCTCAGCACCGGAGAGCCCCACTAACGAGATCACAGCATGTGGGGAACACAAGGCGCATTCTGTCCCTGTGGTATGCCATGAGTGACTTGCAGCGGTCGTCCATGGAGAAGTGGTACCTCGATGCGAAGTTTTTCACGAGACAGGGGCAATGACCCTGGGAAACGACCAACTCTCAAAGGAGAAGACTAAGCAGGAAACAACAGGCGCAAGACTATATGGCGGAAAGGTGGATTCTTCAGAAGATCAACCTCGCGGTCCCATAAGTCTCAACAACGAGCTTTGGCTGACTTAAGCCTAAGCCGCCCACCAGCAGCTTGATGATGCCCGACTCCACCAAAGCAGCTCGCACTCTCTCATCAAAGGATAGATTAAACCTCGCCGCGCAGAAGCTCTTTCGCCCAGGCACTGCTCAAAGATTGCCTTTGATTTCATGTCTGGGTGCGAAACAAAAGACGAAGCGCCAATAGCGAGATTCGAGCATTGGGATGCTGTGCCAATCTGACCAAGTTGTTCAAGGTCTGAGGTACGGCAATCTGATCCTGCCAAGCACGCGCGGAGAGCAGTCATTGCGCCGCTTGGTCTCACGAAGGGCCTTGTTCTCCTCGAAGACGCTAAGCTTCTTCAAGAAGGTCAGGACCCCCAACAGCAGGTCTTCCTGACTCCTCACCCCGATGATCCGAAGAGACTCGTTTCGATACCAAGCTCGTTTGGCATTCTGAAACTTCCCGGCCTGTCCAGTAGCTGCAGCAGGAGTGTCGGCATTTTCCGATTGACCTTCGTGAAATGCTCGAGCGCTTCTGGACTGCTCCCACGCCTCCCCCCTCACCCTTCCCCAAACTTGGAAGGTAGCCATCTTCTTCTCGATTGAGATTTCCTCTGCCAGGTTGAGCCTGTGTCTGTGATGGCATATGGTCGTGTCCTGCTCATGCTTTCATACCAAGGCTGTGGCAGAACACACAGACACACGTGCATAAGCTTGTTCTGCTTTCTCATCTGGAGCTTGTACCTGCATGTTATTTACAGAAATGACATCTCCCACAGATTGCGGCAACAAGTTGACTTGTTTCTATTTCGGGAATGTCGGGCACTTCTTTTCGTCCTTGGCCAACAACTTCTTGTCCTGCATGCAACTAGTGAAGCTTCTTGTCGCGACGTGAAATACCTAGCTGCAGTGCACATGACAGTCCTCAGCCGTGCATTTCTCTTCAAGTTCAAGCTCTTGCACCCTCCGCTGCCTCCTTTCCATATCTTCCCTCCGCACCTGTCGTGCAAAGATGCGGCACAAGCCCCACAACGATTACTGTGTGCGCCTGAGCCCTTTGGCTCTCGTATTCCATAACCCGCATGGTGACATCGCCAATTTGGTTCTGCATCAGCACGGGATGAAACCTCGAAGAAACAGCAAGCCCCCAGCGGTTGACTCCGAGACGAGCCCCGTGATCAAGCGGATGAAACATGTCGCGTTTAGCCGTTGAAGCGCTGCAGGCTTAAACAGCGATTGTCATACAAGTAGGTTAGTCCTTGAAGCCTCCATGTGACTTCTAGCTTCTAGCAACGCAAGGACGAGGGTCGAGGTCAGGAGAGCATGGGCGAAAGGCTGAGAGAAAAGGCACGATTCTGCTGCAGCTCGGCAATGCATTGTTGTTGTTGTTGTATCCAAGCCCAACTCACATGTTTCGCCAGGGAGGGTGTTGCTTGGACTGCGGAGCCTACTATCATCACTCGCAGTGCCATGCGACGTAAGCAAGACTTGGGCGCGCACTGTGAGAAATGGGAAAAACACAGGAAGACGCAGACCTGCCAAATCACCATATGCTGCTTCACATCAAATATGCCCAACATGCCGTGCAGACAGAAAGTGCAATTTTCCGACTCCTGTCATTGGCTCTTCAGAGCTAGAAGTCCATCCCGAATTGGTGGACTGGCCCTTGCCAACGACAGCATGCAAACTCTGTCTTTATGAATGCAGCATAGGTGGCTCAACCGGCTATCGTAGATTCTTGCTATCATCTTGACTGCGTTAGTCCAATGGCCCTTCAGGGACACCACGCGTCGAGACGCCGTTGCCTGGCAGCTCTGGAGCTGGCAGCTACGGCAATTCGTCACTGAGCTCAGTGACCGGCCGCCGAGCTTGGAATCACTCCAGTTGGGTCTCTCCTTTGCAAGGCAGCATCCTGCTGCAAGGTTATCACAGAAGATTCCGCGTCCTCTAAAGCGCCGTCCAGGCTGTCCAGCAGGTCCGGGTCGGAGCGGGCCGCGGCCTCCTACTGGTAGAGCTGCTCCAAGGATTTTAGGCTAGCTTTTTTTGGGTTTTCGGCTGCACCTTCGGAGGCCGCACACTGCTGACAGCACCTGTGCAAACGGATTCGCTCTCTATCTTGCTGACTCTGCTTCTTTTTGTGGGCCTCCCAGAGACCACGCATCCTCACCTGCAAAGTGTTGAGGTACAAACCTGGCAGATTGTTGCAGTTCATGTGCAAAGAAGTCAACAGGTTTGGGCGCACTCATCCAGGTGCTCAGTCTCATCGTCGCCAATTACGAAGGCATCGAAGCCTTTCTGAATGCGGTGACTGTGGTGCAACAACTGAAGTCCTTTCAATCTGAAGTCTTGCAGGTGTGGCAACGAAACGCTACCAGTACTGTACACAACTTTTCCCCTAAGGTTAAGGTTAGTTGTCACGATCGTGTACCCAGGGAGGACGAGAGCCCGAAGCTGCCGGTGATTGGAGACTTCTTGACGCACCAGGTGCGATATGCCAAGAATGCGCAAGCCATGATGCGCGCTTTTTGGCTTTTCAGCTGGTTCTGCGATTCCCAAAGCACTGCGGCATCCGTTTGTCCAAAAGACTTGTGCGATGACCACCGACTAAGAGACTGCTCATGAGCCATGTTGTTTTGGACTTCGAGCTCTGGTGCTGATGTGATGTCGAGATCAGACTGTGGCTGACGACGTCAAGACGTGGGATACGACAGGAAGGTGAAAGCAGAGAGAATCTACACCAGCAAGAATAGAAGGCATGGACGAAACACAACTCAATGCCTTGAGGTCAGAAGATATACTTAAGCAACAAGTAGAGTAGTAGGGCTTGCAGTAGCAGCCGAAGCCTGCAGAGAGGCAAGGTTCCCCCTACCCACCGAGCTTAATAATAAAACCGAGCCCGAAAGTAGTAATGCGAACAGGGCGGGTGCGAATGATAAATATCCTGCATGATCTAATTGCTGTAACAATCTTGAAATCGGGGCTTTGGGCCGAGCAGAGATTTGCCCATCCACCATAATACTGGTACTGGTTTTCATACTCGCACTAGTACTGGCAGTTGTGCTGGTACTACTTCAGCAGCACTAGTAGTACAGTACCAGTAGTACTAGTAGAGTACTAGTACAAGGTCTACTACTAGTAGCAGTACTCGTACCTACTGGTAACTACTAGTAACTAGTACTAGGTACCCATTTACCACTCACAGAACATCAGGAACATGAGCCAATCCCCCCCCCAGGTTTCAAGCGGGGCTTGTAAGGCAACTTGCGAACAGGAAAGGCTTCTCAGTAGTTGGGCACTCACAAGTTGAGCCTGGCTTTCTTTCATCACGTTGATTGTTCCACGCCGGCATCGCATTGTAATCTACCGGCAACATGAGTTGGACGGCAAGAGACGAAGACTGGTCAAGACACAGACCTCTATGAACAAGAGTTGCTACGCTGCTAGGCCAAGCCTGCATCCTCCTCGCCAGTCTGGCCGACTATTTGAGGAGGCCTCGTGGAAACCGCAACGGTACCGGTGCTTGCAGCATTTGCAGGCTAGGATCAGAACATGCCAGACTCTTCGTCTTCTTTCAATTTGACGTGCCTGCGGCGGGCTACGCGACCCAATACGCAATATCTTTGCAAGCCTTGCGTGTGACCGCCTGTGCTTGTCCGTCTTGAAGCAAATCTTGCGGACCAGAAAGAGGCAGAGGCAGGCCTTGGCGACTTGGCGAGCAGCGCTCGTCTCTGCTACTACCAGTCCGTGCTCCGGGTCCACTACGCTCAGAACTCCAGCCACGATGGCCCCGATGAAGTGCAAGGGATCTTGTCCCAAGAACCGAGCTGGGATGGCATCCTGTCACAAATACCATCCCAAACCGACCAAACGTCATGTTGGTGAAACTGGCGGTCCTGGTTGGATGGAGCAGTGGTGCTGCTGGGCACCGTGCTTTTGACCTTCCGTCGAAAACAACCTTTGTCTCACCTCTGACTCTGACTCCAAATTTTTCGCTTAGCCCCGCGCACTGGTACCAGGTAACCTGCAGCTCCGTTGGGGGCTCCAGATAAATCAACCCCACTCTCCCTGAGCTGTGGATCGCGCTCGCTGCGAGGCTGTCCCGACTCCGTCTGCCCGACAGTGTCGAGCGGAACCTGGACGCTTAGCTCGTTACACAAACGTGGAATCATTGACTCGACCAGGCCATGGACTGGGATGCCGCCAGTGTTCGTGCGGCTGGACGATGAGGTCGTGGCTGAAGCTGTAGTCGAGTGGACTGTGGAAACTGTCGCAAGGGCAATTGCACTCGTTGTCGGTGCTGTCGTGGCCAGGGTGGTTGGAGCCGACGACGTTGCAGGGGTAGTTGTCACGGTGGTCGCTGGCGGAAGAGACGAAGCCTACGCACCCGCTCTGGGATTGGGCATTCTGACGTTCCGAATGCTTGAAACAACGAGCTGCAGTCCTTTGCCGAATGAGATGGTCGGTCACGATCTCTGTACTCCGGACCTCGGGAATCACATTCGTTGGAGCCTTGCTCTATTGGACTGGTTTTCAGCATGCCAGGAAGCCAGCAATTTGCCGGAGCAATTCCAACTTCGCTCTTTTCCATGTCGAAGATGATGTCCTGCACGTTGTGCAACAGATTGAAATTCAACGACCGTGTTCAGAGAACGCCTGGTGCGTCATCCAAACCGCCCCCAGCACAGTGTTCGCACGAGGGCCGTCATCTTCGAAGCCGTAGCAGTAAGTGTCGGTTCTCCCCTTCCTTCAATCAACACCACAGCAGACGAGAGGCACAAAATTCAAACCGCATCGCCTGTAAAAGTATGCTTTTGGAACCCACTTCGTCTCCACGCCATCAAAAACAACAGAGATGTGGGGAAACCTCAGGACTCAGGAGTCGCTGCTTCAGATGCACGCTCTCCACCGCTCAGCGGTCTGGGTAAGGTGCTTCTCAGGTCCATGGGGCAACGTCCAGCACTTCGTGCCATGCTTTGTGCCACCACACTGGTGACCTGTCTGGCCGCTGGAACATTGGAGATAGCTCATTCTAAGACGCGGACCTCGGCAATATGTCTCAATAGCGCTCATCAGCGCCCTGTAGTTACTGCTGCGCATGTAGGTGTACCTCTGCTGCTCACTCACTTATACGCTCTTGCGCACTCGCTTCGTGCACTCTGGAAAGGAAAGGAGGGATCTTCAAATCCTAGTGAGATTGTCTTTACTACTGACGTGGGCGGCTTCAGAGACAATCGCATCCAACAGACAACCAGGTAGGAACGCACTTTCGCGAACTAATGCACTGCTCAAGTGCAGAGCGGCTGCTTTGCAAGCCTCCGTTTCCTTGCTCCCCAAGGGTGCGGACTTTGTGCATGTCGGAGGAACTCAAACTAACCGCGCACGACTGGTTCCTGTGGGGTGAACGTCTCGAGGCCATAGGCCTCCTTCAGGGCCTTTCTCATTCATAATCGCGAAGAGGATCAGGATCACGGAATGTGAAGGCTCCGAGCTGCCACACGGCAAGGACACGAGGGGTGGAGCCTCAAATCCCCAACGTCACTTTTCGACGGACTGGCTGCTTGGAACAGAATCTCAGCTTAAGGAGTGCGGCAAACAAGTGCGAGCTCCAGCGAACTGGAAGGCATACAGTAGCCGCAGACCCTCCATCACTGCGAAGTTGGCCGCGCACGTCGTGCCACTGTCAATCATGGTGCTGCCCCAGGTTGTGGAAATAGAGGCTCCATTCACCTGCCACCGAAAAACACAACGCGCATGCATGAGTAGATGTCCATGCCAACCTTCATGGCAGTCAACTGGACACTGTAGAAGCCACCTCAAGCGCTGACGGTAAAAATATCCACCATGCGAGCAAGAGTCAAGCTTCTGAGAGGTGACGGGAAATTGATACGTGCCTGGTTTCAATCGAATCCTTTTGACTTGGCCTGTGTGCAACCTTAGCGCCAGCGACAGTCTGTCTGCTAAGAACTTTCAGAGCCCTGCCGCCTGCTTCAACTGAGCTTTCAACGACTCATCAAAGCCCCCCACATTGAATTGTCCCCCCCACCTTGATTGACAGCATGTTAAAACCGCTGCGGTCTATTTGCCTCCGAACTTTATGCTTGTGCTCAAGCAACACACTTACCCGTACGAGTGATACTGTGTTCGTCTTACACATTCATGGGCCCCTGCAGATTTGGTCGATAGAAATGAACTACCGACCCTCGTTTTGTATCGTTAATACATTCCTGCAGGTTCGGATACTGTATACATCCCCGGGCCGAAAGTCTTGAGCTACCGCGCCTTTCATGATGTTACAGACTCTTGAGGCTCGCTTGTGTCAGGAGTGTAGAGGGAAGAGGGTGGTGGCGCGGGTCAACTTCGCTGTTTAAGCTAGTGGGTCGAACTATCGGCCCGGCGCAGTATGTCGAAGAATGCCAAAACCAAAACCACATCTCAAGAAAAGGCGCCAGGCAACTCGCCCAGGTTCGAGGTGACCACACATTCAACGGCAACACTGTGCTCTTGCAATTACACCACTAATTTTCTGTAGGGAAAC